TTGATTATCATATATATATATATATATACACAAGATTTGATAATCAACAAATATCTTGTTGTCATTTCTTGCTTGTCAAAATGATGAAAATCTTCATTTTTTGAAGCATTAATCTTCGAATTCTATATAGAATAAAAATTCCATTAGTAACTTGCTCTCATCAAATGATTTTCAAAAGTCACGAAGGCATGTCATTTGGTTTTATTAATACTTATCTTTTTTTGTGTATTATGACACATGGAAATTGAAGATAATATAATTCTTACGAGCTATTCACAGAAAAATTATATTAATTAAATAAGATACAGAAAAAAAAGTTCGACGCAATTTTCCTGTTGATATATTTTTGCAACTACTTGAGCAATTTTAACAAATAAATAGTCATTTTAATGAGCATTTCAAAATGTACTTATTGTGTAGAAATAAAAGTTCTAGTTCAAGCAGTAAGAAAGTCAAACAAGGAAATTTATTACGTGCAATTTTTTGTTGTCCAAAAATAACGTGTAGAGCAGATTAAACGATCATATTTTGCATTTCAATTTTTCATCACTTTTAATACGTTGTATTAAAAAACAAAATATGTCACAAGATACAGCGTGAAAAGCTCTACAATTTACAAAGAATAATTTATTTGTTAAAATTACTCAAGTAGTTGAAAAAATATATCGACAGAAAAATTGTCGCAAATTTTTTTTCCATATATTAACATACTATTTCATAAAGAGTTATAGGTAAATTACATTGTATCTATTTAGACTAAGATAAACATAAAACTTTCTCAATTTTCATTTAATCTCTAAGAACCTTGCACAATTAATAACATTTATAAACAATATGAGATGTAATTAATATTTTCTCGAATAAAATAAATTGATAAGAGTTCAAAGAAAAACAACATAAGGAATATTTTGAAGTTTCAAATCATAATAACTCATAGATCGTTTCTTTTATAATAGAAACATAGTAAAGAATTCTATCGGACAAGGTTGCCAGATCTTCTGAAAAGTCGGAAAAGTTTTCTGATTACTCCTTGATCTTCTGATTTTTTCAAATTTTGACGCTGTCGTCTGACTATTTCCCAATTCTGAACTTTTCTTGATTGCAACTTCGTCAGAATGTAGATGTGACTGAGGGTCTTTCATTCATTCACATCCACTCATGATAAGCATCTTCGAAAAAAATGAAAAATATGAATAATAATATCGATTTAATGTTATATAACCTAAATCTTCTTGCTTTCGTAGGATATCTTAACCTACATAGTATATATATGATTTGTTTTTGTACTTATTTCTTTTGAATGAATTTAAAGTTTAGTAACAGAGTTCGATACTAAATATCTTTTTATTGGTTTTCTTGTATTAACTGAACAATATATTCTAATTTAAATGACAAAATCCTGTTTCCTAAATTACCTGGGATAATAGCTACTAGTTTTCAATAAAGTGTCCATTCTGATTAATTTCTGTTTTTGAAAAAAATGTTCTAATTTTTTGAGTTTTTTGATCTGACAACCTTGCTGCTAGATTTTATGATTCATCTTGAATTAGAAAATCATATATATATATATAGTTCTGTAGAAAAACTCAACACAGTGAATGATATACAAGAAATCAAATTTTTCTCAAATTTCGATATGGTGAGGGTACGTAAACGGGTTATAATGGTTTAAGGAATATTAAATGATATCCATAAGCATTATGTTCATTAGGATGTTGTAAAATAAATTTATGGAATTTATTTTCAGTATAATCTGTTCGATACAATTTCAAGTGCTCTTTAATTTTCTATATTCAAAAATTTTCATCATTACTTTCTTCATACTTAAATATGACTACTTTCCATATGCTTAGACTATTTTTTGACTCTATATCATTACTTCGTGCTCAACTGTATGCTACGAAATAAATGAGTACCAACATGAAACTTTATCAAAAACTACATACTATCGAGCTTGAAATGTTTTACAATTAATCTCTTCTGAAACAGTAAGGAGTCATTGCCAAACTGCGAGATTATTCCTTAAAATAATCGATTTTCCTATCTGTAGTGAAAATCTTTAATATTTTCATACTAGAGCCCTGAGAAATCAGACAAATATACTGAACAAAGTGTCTAGTCACGAAATTCCAAGCTCTTGAAAGGAATCCAAACAAGATTTTCTTAGGATTCTAAGCTGTTTAGCAATGCATTTTGGTCCAAAAGTAGATTCAGGAAATTGTAATTCCTGAGAAAAATGTGTAACCATGAAATAAAAAAGATTTTAGTAGGATTGAAACAAAATCTAAAAAGAGTCCTAAGCACTTTTCCGTTGTTTTTAGATCAGGATCTTGCCAGGATTTGAATGATTTCTAAGTACGAAAACATTTTCCATTGCATCTTGGAGAACTTCACCAAGGTTCTATAATAATGTTATCCGATTTCTCGATAGAATCTTTGCAGAATTTTCTAAGTATAACAAGTTTCATTAATTTATTTATAATGTCAATTAAGCTATGAATGATGCTGTTCTCTTATTTTTGTATTCAATAAATTTTTTTAAACATTGATCAAGGTACTCATGTTAATCTTTTTTTTATTCTCTACACATTTTTCTTTCGACATTTCGATTTTTGAGATTTTTTTCAATGTTTTTCTTTTCGACGTTTTTTCATCATATCTCAATTTTAATGAGAAAATAAAATCCAGAAGAGAATTTACATCACGATCTGAAGTTAAACCATATTGGAATGTCAATCTTTAAAAGATTTTAAGAAAAAATCTTCTAAATTTTTTCGTGAATTCTTCTATTCAATTATATAGAGATGCAAACGAAAATTAAGATAAAACCCTGGTAGATTCTTCAATTCTTAGATTCTCGTCAGAGTCAGAACAAAAATACAGTGCAATCATGAAAAAGATTTCCATTTGTTGCTACTAATATTTTACATAACAATGACAATGAACTTCGTTAGAATTCAGAAATTTAAAAATCTTGAACCGATCCTAAACGGAAACTCGTTACAATCTTGATGTAACGATTTCATCAAGTTTTATCAGAATTCTGCGCTAGATCAGTCATAAATCTTCATAGGAAACTCAAGATCAGCTTTTGGACAGATTCTAAGTACAAATGTACAAAGATCTTAATTAAATTCTGATATCTTCTCATCAAGACACTGAGCATACTTGGAGCTCCCTAGTTAGAATTCAAAATGCTGGTTCTTGAAAAAGTTTACAAAAGACTCTCATAACAGGAACCAATAGGAATTCAGATACAATTCTGATCGAAGTTTGATAGAATCTGTCGATTCAGAATTCTCATTAATCTTGCTCTATTCTTTGCATGATTGTCCTCTGATTTAACTGTAAATCCTGATAGGCTTCTGGCGTAGAGGTTTCGAAACAGATCCTGAGAGAAACTTGTTAATATCTTAGCAACATTCTATCTATTGTTTTTCTCAAGATTCTGAGCTGAATCGAGAGTGAATCTTAGTGAGGTCGTTCATTTTTAGTTGATAAAAAGAATCTGAGTAGGAATTTGAAGAGATTCTGAACAAAATCGTATTTCATTATGAAACTTCCTGCAAATAGAAATTGTTAGGAATCCAAACAGGATCCTTCAGATTCAGGATCTTTAAAGATTCTTTTTGACTTTCTTAAGAAACCAACACCATTAAGACGAAGAATCAGGCTTGCCAAATTAAAACTTCAGAAACCAGAAGTTTTTTGTAAAAAATCAGGAATTTACGTAGAGATGGGTACAGATGTGAGTATGCAAGAATTATGCATTCATGACACATGTTTCTATCCTGCGGTGTGTCATCAAGTGGTTCAATGTTAAGAATACAATTGAATAATTTATATAAAAAACAAAGTTACCCGATGTCCTAATCAAATGCTGCGCACATATTTTACAATTAGTATTAACGTATAATACGTCCCTGACTAATATGTAAACTTTTTTGGACGGTAGGGGTGTGAATTTGACTATGGGCTCTGCGGCTTTTCCTCACGTACATGTAAACCCACACCAACAGCGACAATGACATCGACATTCACATCCACGCTCGCGTCCACAACCATGTCCACACCCACTCTGTTTATCCTGCTATTGTATTTATAAATAATTTATTGCTGTTTTCGTCGTAATAATTTTGTTCAGCAATAAGTGGCCGCATATCATGACGACGCCTACGATCTAGATGGATATGGGTGTGGATCTCAGTTGTCTAGTTTTCAACAAGAGTTCACTCGCTTTCATACTCTTATATAATAAAAATTGTTCCAGTTGGTATCGAATCTAAGATTAAAATCTATTTTTATTTACGAAAGAGAAAAAACTTTCTACGTTAGATCGAATGAATTTTAAAAAGAGGTACATCAACACTTATTAATGCAGAAAGTCTAGTATTAAAAATGGTTCCAATCCAATATAAGATAGAAGCTAATCTAACTTCATCGTACGTTTGGTATGACATGTAAAATAATATATTCACAGAATTTGTTGAGGCTTATTTTTATGCACGAGGATCCGGGTAGGCATGGGTGCACGTGATGGTGTGTCTGTGAAGTGTGGATCAGGGTATACCTGCTGGATGTGGTGTCGATTCCACTTATACGCACACATCTCGTTCCCACATCGACATCCACACTGACATCCATCCATATCCACAGACTCTATCTAAACACACATACCCATGCTACGGCGATACCCACATAGAAATACTCATGCACTTCCTCACCAAAGTCTAAACTCACAATGTGAACTATTTACGCTTCGACATGCAATTTATTAATGTGCATTCAGAAAACAAGCAGAATCTTAGAAGAACAGAATAATAGAGATTAAAGTGAAATAAGCAGACAATATAAACCATGATAATCATTGAAAATAAAGAATAAGGAAATAATCACAACTTACGTCTCAAACAAAAGTTTTTTTCAAAAAGTTAGTCTTTTGCCGTCGTCTGTTCGTTAGTTTCCAGAAACGGCTCCATATCTTTGATATCCTTCCCACTTCACTTTTTGCCAGGATTGTAGTAACAGCGTCCATAAGCCCATGTAGGATCGTTCTTTTGGCAATGCATTCCGCGACAACAACTTCCTTGGTGTCCATTTGTACCAACGCAAGCACTATCATGTCCACCACACTAAATTAAAAGTAAGATAACGTAGTGAATGACAAAGTATTTCACATAATCTCAATGAAATTATAATGTGACACATGATGGAGTTACTTTAATTGTATATGAAGACGTCACTCTTTGCGTTAATCACAATACGTGACAAGCTCAAAAGAAAAGTATGTCGAAATGACTGTTATCGTTTGTCATAGGTGTCATAAGACCACATTATATGAGAAATAAAACGAATATATTGGACTTCTGGATGTCAAATCCACTCATAATTCAAAATTTTATTTAGAATCTGAAATATTCAGACTCAATATTCCAAGGCAGCATTTTCACATATTTGTCATGGTCTGTAGAAGTAGGCTGGAGGGAAGACTCGATTTTCTCGCTACATACTTAAACATTCATTAATAACCTTTTTTTTTCACAAAATCATTATTTGATAGATCTATACTTACAGCTTCACTGATGACTGTCAGAGTAGCAAATACGCAAACAATGAGTAGAAAAACAGCAAATGACTTAATCATGGTTAAAGAGTTAATTGAAGTTTTTATCAAAGTGTGAATAAAAATTGTCTTGTGTCACAGTGATAATAGATGAATGTTACGAAGAGTATATGGTTTTCGAATTTGTAATGTAATTGATGCTGTACAATGTTTGCTTTTATACCATGGAATATTCGATGCGTGTATTATACGAAAAAACATACTGAATGCATAATATATGTAATATTTTATTCAAAAAAGATTATTGAATGCATAATATATGTAATATTTTATTCAAAAAAGATTACTGAATGCACCGATTTAGAACACGAATAATCATGCATGAATGCATCGTTAGTAATCAAATACATGTGTAGGTTGAGTAGTGAATTAATTGAGCAATTTTTAGCACAAATATATTATTCCCTCGACTCAAAGGATGATCGTATGAAATAAAATACGTTTGTATGTTTGCTTGGACGTGTAAAGTGACCTGCTCAGATATATATGAGGGTCTATAAAGTTTTATCAAAGGTTTGCGGATTCGAGGAATCTGATGCTGTAACTGGTTTTTCAAAATTCTCAGTTTGATTTTTTTTCGTTAGAATAAGGCTTTTTTACGAAAAAATCGATTTTTTTATAAAGTTTGAACAAAAGTAACTGGAGTCGAGAAATGTGAACCTGTAATTGGTTTCTCGAAATGTTGAACTTCGTTTTTATCACTAAAAAAACGGTTTTTTTTACGAAAGTAACGATTTTTTCCTCGACTGAAGGAAGGATCATATGAAATAAAATGAATTTATGGCTATGCTTGTATGTTTGCTGGCACGTGTATAGTCACGTGTACAGATATATTTCTCAAAGGTTCGAGATGTAAAGGAAGTCAGCAATCGATTCGAGTTTTTTCGAAAACGATTCGTTCTATTCGTTGAACTAACTCTGAAATAGAGTGAGCCAGATGTAACTCGACGAGTTTGATTCAATGGTGAATTGAGATTTTTGATGGAAGCTACTAAAAAAAATTAAAGAAAAAAAATGCATTTTTTACTGTAGGAAAAAAGCAAAAAACAAGCATTTTCCATGACGATTCGCTCCATCGCTTGAGTCACTCATGAAACCGAGCTCAATTGATCCAGCTCAACGTGCCCTATCAAATAGTATAGGTTTCAGTGAATTGAAAGTAAAGTTAGGTTGGCCAGGAATCCAAAACCCGTCAATATCGGTTTCGAGGCCGTATTTATTCTGACGATTCGCTGCAACGCTTGAGCCAGTCATGAAAATCTACCCGATCGATGTCGTTCGATGAGGTTTACCGGATGGGTGTGGGGTGTGGGGTGTGGGGTGTGAGGTGTGAGGTGTTGTGTGAGTGTAGATATGGGGTGTGGATGAAGAGAAGAATCATTCAACCACACTGACACCCCAATTTGATCGGGTGATAAACGTGTTTGTCTTTGAGTAAGTGTCAATCCAGCTGAACTAAATAGTCTCTCTATAGAAAACTGGTTGCTGGTATAGCATACATATATGAGGCGCCCCAAGTGTTTTTTTATTAGCGAAGTGATATTACATTTGACTTGGGCATTAACGTTAAATCATCTCAAAAACATGACTTAATTCTATTGTAACTTTTCTGCCAAATCCATTGGTTAATTCATTTTTATTTCTTCTAGTATGTTTGATGCATTACTGTATAACAAAATCATTCTATAGTTTGTTTACCAATTATCGGATGATTTTGTTTTGTTCCTTTGCGATCAACATGCACGAAGCAGAATAGATAACGAAATTCTTCGAGACATTATTTTGCTAGTGTTCAGAAAATTTCTGACCACGTTGAGAGCACTTCATCCGAAAAACTTACACATGTCACATCTAAGTGATTCAGATTCGATAAAATGTTTCCTGTTATGACTATCTCTTGACCTAAAACTCACCAATACATGCTGTATCCACCTCTCTGCCGGTCTCAAGTTATTTGTGTAGCTAATTTATGTCTGTCTGATATTTTTTTTGATGCCATCCTGCAGATCTTGTGTCAAAAAAGATCATCCTGCTTCTGTATATGTAGGATTGATGCACAAGAAAATAGCTAACTTTCATGGCAGGTACTGCGTCCTATGACGTTCTTTGGTTCTCACTGTTTCATTCTTCATCAAATGAACATGTACTTTACTCAGAATATAATAATACAAACATATTGAATGTCAAAATTGGAAAAAACCAAAAACAAATGTGTAAAATATGCCTTTTAATTGATAAGAGTGATGATAAACGGCGCAAAAAACAGAAAAGAAAGTAAAAACAACATGGAAAATTTTTGAAGGTTGAGACAATTAATAAGATTAATTTGTATTGATATCAAATAAAATGGCGCATAAGGAAAGAACAACTTGGAAAAAACCCTAGTATCACCTGTACTTATATAAAAGGAAACAAATCATTTTATTTACCATTTTTTTCTATGTTTTCATAAATATTTCAATCTTAATTATTATATTACGTTTCGTAAGGATTAATCGATCTTTTCTTTAAGATATAATGAGTAGTACACGACGAAAACCAACAGCTAGTTCAGAAAAATTAAAATATCAAG